ATATTCAAACTATATTGAATCTGAGTTTTTAAGGTGTGACGACAATGGCAATGTTATTTGGAAAACAACAGCAGTTTATCTAAAAACACCTTAGGCTGATAAAACATTTCGTCAGCAGTAAACAATTTTGGTTATCGTAGCATGAATTTATTGTCCAATGTTTTAAATATTCCTGATATTTTTCGAACACAATAGGTCAATACGTTAAATAAACTATTTAACCTAAAATTTAAGTTGATTAAGTATGTGATTTATAGAGTTGCTGTTCGAAGGTATTGGTTCAGTAATAAAAAAGTTGTAAATGTGTATACAGACAAAATAATAAAAAAGGCCACTTCATTGTAAAACCTATAGCATCACTGCTCCACATCAAAGCTAAAACATTTTTCTAGATTTTTGTGTAAAAGTCTTCAAAGTGGTCAAATTATATGTTGTGAGGTTCGGTGATTGCGAATTTAATATCAGTTTTCAATTTTACTCAGCCAAAAAATACTTAAATAAAGAATTAAATTAAATTATCCTTAAATTGTAAAAAAACACAGTTTTCCGGCAGTTAAAACATCATAGGAATATTTGAACGACAATTTCATGCAACGCTAACCAAACTTGTTTTTGCTAACGAATTGTTTTGTTAGCCTTAGGTGTTTTTTTGATACACTACTGTTGTTTTCCAAATAGCATTTCCATTGGCGTCATACTTTAATAACTCAATTTCTGTATAGTTTGAAGAACATTTGTTAAATAATGTATATTATATTCTTTTGGATATTTTTTTGACACATTTTTTTTCTAAAATAATTAATTGTAAATGATTTTAAATAGAAAAACTTAAAAGCCAGTACAGTGGAGTCAAGGCTTAGTGGGGATGGAGCATGATGGGGTCTGGGCATAGTGGGGACGGTGAGGTCACAGGTTTACAGGTGATCAATCTGAAGGTGATAAAATCACTTTCGAATAAACGCTTCAATAAATGCGAATCTGAAGTTAATATTTTCAAGCTAGTATAGTCCAAACCAAGCACAGTGTAAACCCGTAAATTGAGAAAGTATTAATTTGAGGTGCTGTATTTACAAATAAGCATCAAATGTTTTTTAAAGTGATTTTATCACTTTTTTTATATTAATTCTTTAAGACCTGACTTGAATCCACTATGTCTATACTCTACAGTACTAGTCCTCTCGGATAAAATCACTTTCATATTTGTAATTGATTCATATCATTCAAAACAACGCGTTTACAACAAATTACAGCAATACAACACTCCACTCCAAAAAGTAAATTATTGAAATAGTATACACCACTTCTAAAAAACGGATTTATTTGACTAACGGATTATTTTAATTTATTTTAGACTTTATATATTTTTTTTTAATGGAAATGATGTTATATCCTAAATAATATCCAGTTAGTTTTAAAGGGTAATGATTGTGTAAAAATAGTAAATTCTCTTAAAATATTAGACTCGGTCTGTCTTTGGCGCAGAAGATGACAACATTGTTGCCGAAGTACGTCGTATACGTGGAGAGTATAATATAATTGTTTAATGATTAAGGGTTTTAAATATTATTTTATGATATACAAGCTGTCCGGACCCGGCGTTTCCCGAGATTTAGTCTGCCAGGGCTCAGTAAAATAATTCCCATTCCCCCACCCTTCATTTCTAATATCTTATCTCTTATCAGATAACAGCGTGACAGCGTTTTTGTGACATTTTTTTTTTTTGGTTATTATTTCCTCCTCTTACTCAAGGGTCCCAATGCCGGTCCCAGATCACGTTCCAACCGTTAAAAGCTTGCCCGGAATTTTGGTACATATAATCGGCCTGTTCCTTTAATCATCACCTACCATTTACCGGACGAACGGTGTACTAATGTATTAAAGGACAGACAAACAAGAATATATTTTTATATGATATATATATAACCATAAATTGCTCAAGTATTTTTCTAGTGAATACTTACTCTTGATTAACGCACGAGTATTCTAATATAATATTGCGGTCTAATATGTTATTTATCATTTGTATATGTTATCTACCATTTGCTCGAGTACCGTGGTTCCCATGGTTACAAACCAAGAGTTTATTTTGGGTTATTATAATTACAAACATTTAATTCATTTACATTTGATTACGTTTGAGGTGAAATTTCCTTAGAGGTGAAATTTTCGAAAAGTACTATGCCAGTTATCTTCGCGGGAGTGTATTCAACAACTTCCCAAAGTTTCATGTCGATCGGATGAATGGTGTACTAATGCATAATGGACAGACAGGCAGGTATTCATTTTCATATATTTAGATAAAATAAATACTGACGAAATATAAGAGCAAAATGGTTTATTTTCCAATCAATAATACAATTTTGTAAGTGACATTTAGTATTACATAGTACACACATGTATTATTATAAATCTCCAAAACTAAAAGTTCTAGTAATGGTACGAATGGCATCTTCTATTGTCCCAATAGGATATGTGTATGCTAAAAACACAAAGTATTATACATTTTTTAAACAAACGAAGCAGACCAATTCAACAGCAAATATATTAAGAAAAAATATGTTTTCCACTTGCAAAAGATTATTATCTGATATTTTCGTAATTGAAAAATAATAATGTAAAATTACATAATACATTTCATTTTTATAAAAAATTATATAATTTATAGTTGTGCAATTAATGATAGACTTTATTATTAAAATGCCATTACAATAGTTTTTGAACATTTTTCTCAACATATTTATTAAATATTTTTCTATTGTATATTACCTAACAAATCCAATTTCAATTGGCTCTTTCTATCAAGGGTTGTCTCCTTATGCACTCTTACTCTTATTTCATCAGTGATAAAACTTAATTGATTAAAGTTTATACCAGCCGGACGTGCATTTCTATCAAATAACACTTGTGCATATAACTATTTTTTATCAGAACAAAAACAGGCATTAAAATGTGTATTAAAATTTACAATTAAAACATTTTAATGTACATGTTATAAACATAAGATTCATTTTCTAAAACAATAATTCACATTTTGCAAATAACAGCAAAAACCTCAGAATATTCATAACCAATTTTACATAGAATAATTGAAAGTTTAAATACTTTAAACATCCCCCCGAAAAACCACCTAACCAACCTTTAAACGGTATTATAGTAATTTTTGTTTTTTATTTACCGTCTGGCTATCGTCACCTACAATAAATCTAACGATCCATTTACAATCTATTATCGAATAATCACGATCTGAAAAAACAAAATTTTAAATATATTCTTAAAAAATCAGATTAATTGTAATATTGTGTTACAATATTTTTATTTTTAATCATTATAGCAACTCTATAAATCACAAATTTTATCTAGTTGGTACTGGGTACTAGGAGTACTAGTTGGTACCATATGAGTCTTATAGTTTGTACTAGTCCTTTAGGATAAAATCGCTTTTAAATAAACGCTTTGATACTAAATTATAAACACTGCACCTGACTTTAATTCTTTCTTGCTAATAAGTAATATATTATGTAAAGATAATATTTTATTGTTTTCTCCAATATAGTATAAGATTTACTTTTAATTTCAATGCTGGAGACTCAATTATTCTTTAGAAAAATACAAGAAATAAGTATACAAATTAAGGATCTATGTAAAGGTTTTTTAGATGCGTTTTGTTATGTTTATTGTCAATCTAGTAAAATAGAAGAATAATAGAGATATGAAAAATATAATTTAAAAAGTATGTAGAGTTAGTGTGAGATTGTTCTAATGGAAGAAGTATATAATACATAAATATTACTTTTATTGAGTATAAGCGATTATAATTTAAATTATGGAGTACAAACGGATGAAACATAAATCACCGACCATTCCAACTAAATTTAACAAAAGTACAGTGGGGTCGGGGCTTAATGGGGACGGGGAAGTCACAAGTTTACAGGAATTATTACAGCTGAATGTAATAAAATCACTTTCGCATAAACGCTTCGATGCAAATCAGTGATTAGTATTTTCAAACCAGTATAGTCCAAACTGATCACATTATAAGCCATTAAGGTAAAAACAAATTAAAGTGAAGTGCAGTGTTTACAAATTAGCGTCAAAGCGTTTATTTGAAATTGATTTAATCCAAAAGGACTAGTACAGTAGGTCGTGGTATAATGGAATCAAAGCATAGAGGGGACAGAGAGGTCACAAATCTACAGGAATTATCATTAACAAAAATCATAAAATCACTTACAAATTAACGCTTTGATGCTTGTTTGTAAATACTGCACCACAATATAATACTTTCTAACTAACACATTTGTTGAATATTATCCTATTATTTATTACCTTCACATAATGTTTCAAATTCAGTACGGCTGGGTAAATCTCCTACTGCCTGTGTTTCCGCTTTTACTTGGTCAGCTATAGTTTTTGCGTCTTCGTACCTCAAGTAATTCAGTGCGCGAAACATACTAACGACTTTCCTTCGTATTAGTGCCTATCGTTATAAGAATAAGAATTAGTCATTTATTTGTATATAACAATTTGCTAATTAAACTAATACTTCTTTAATTAAATAAAAATGTCTAACTATCAGACATATTATATGGCTTGCGAATTTTTTTAGCATTATAACATAAATTTCATAATAGTTAAATTTTGTTTTGTTATTGTAATCAATAATTGGTTATAAGGGAAAATATTACTTTAAAAACTCTGGTGCAAAAATGGAGGGGGTTAAAACATAAAATGACTTTTCGATCAATACATTACATTTTGTACATTGTTAAGCAACTATCTCAGCATTTTTTATTAATCATAAATAATAAGTACTCGTTATGCTTACTTTTTCACTATCGTTAGGTTTTCCATCAAAACCTTGACATTGCAAAACGTACCATGCAATGCAAATAAATAGCATCATGACTTTCGAATACATTTTAAGTGTTCAAACGATAAACTTGGATACGGAATGTTAAATTATTAGTTTTAGCAGTAAAAAGCCGTTGTGAAAACGAGACCTATGACGATTTTATAATGTTATGGGAATATTGTATTCTTGCTTGACGACTGTGATTCAAATAGTGGTTTTCCGAACAACCACAGTACTTATTATAAGAAAATTTACTTGAAGAATGCAAACAGTACTAAGTCGGTGGGTGTTGATCGGTGCGATTTGTTTTAAGCAACAAATACTTTTGAACATATTTATTTGCGTTGTATGACATACTTAATACACGCACTCCCTTAATGTTATTTTTTTACGTACATACTACATTTTACTGTTTACTCATGTGCAAAATATATGCATATATTGTCAACGTTTATCGATAGTGTCCCATCTAAAGAATATATCTAGAATGTGACATTAACACAAACAAACAATTATCTTAAAAATCTCTTGTTGACATTTTGTTTGAGAAAAACTGTGAAAACTAAACCTAAAACCATAAAAGAGTGGTCAAATATTTTTTCCTTTGGATCGGTTTACTTGAGTATCATCTCTAAATATCCGAAATGGTTTGCGATTGGTACTTTGGTGGATCAAAAGGCGGTAGGAACCACTTTGTTGATAGAAAAATCAACTTGTTCACCCCCAAAAACCAACAAAAATCGAGAAAAAAAAAGTTTGCCGGTTTTTAGACTTAAGCTCACTAGAGCTTAGCGTGAAATGGCGTGATTGAAGCGCAGCTTTTATAGAACAACTATTAGGCATTCTTTTATTCTTAAATAGCCTCAAATCAAATTTCGATAGCCCTGCATCCCGACCCCTCTCCCTGCCACAAGGGTTGACATTTTTTTCGTTTTAGACATAGGAGATTAAAATTAGACTGAATATAGGTCTATTTTATATATTTGTAACTACAATATAATCATTTTTTTATGACATATACAGGGTGATTTTTTTATCATGAACCACTCAATATCTCATAGAGTTTAATAAGCAATAAAAACGTTTTTCATAAGGTTTTTGTACAATTTGATCTCAATTTTTGACGACTGTATTTGTTTTTACCCCCCTCCCAACTTATTTTTTTTATGGCAACTAGTGAAAATGATAATAATGTACTAAAAAGGTCGACTGGTCAATAACCAGTTTAGGATTACTAAACTATAAAGTTATAAGAGTTTTAAAGTAATGATGGGAGGGGAAGTGTGGTCGAAAAAATGTGCGCAGATAAAAAAAATACTACACTCCACATTTTATTCATTTTTATTTAAATCAATTCCTTCAGACCTCTGACCTCTCCGTCCCCTCGATGTTTTAATTATATTATGCTTATACTCTACTGTACTTGTCCTCTCAGATAAAATCACTTTTAAATTACCACATTGATACTTACATATGTGTAAAGACAGCACCTCAATTTAATCATATCTAAATTTGCTGATTTACACTGTGCTTGGTTTGGGCTGTACTGGCTTAAAAATACTAACTTCTGATTACCATCGAAGCATTTTTTCAAAAGTGATTTTATCAACTTCATGTTTAAAAATGTCCTGTAAACCTGTGACGTCAGCGTCCCCACAAAGACCAGACCCCACCATGATCCGTCCCCACAAAGCCTTGACCCCACTGTCCAGGCTTTTAAGTTTTTTTATCAAAAAACATTTCCAATTAATAAATTTGGAAATATATGCGTCAAAAAACATTCAAAATTATAAAAAATACATTATTTATCAAATGTTATTTAAATTATATGAAAACCGAGCTATTAAAGTATGACGACAACGGCAGTGTTATTTGGAAAACAACAGCAGTTTATCTAAAAAACACCTAAGGCTAATAAAACATTTCGTTAGTAATAAACAAGTTTGGTTAGCGTTGCATGAAAATATTGTCCATTATTTCAAATATTCCTGATTTACTTCGAACACAATGAATCGAAATGTTAAATATATTATTGAACTTAAATATAATAGGGATTAAGTTACCAACTGAAAAATACAAAATTGGTACATGTGGTTCCAACAAATCATTTAGTTATGCCAACTAGAAATTAATAGTATCTCAACATTAAATATATTTTAGATTTGCACCAGCTATTAAATTATTTTGCATAGGAGGGTGGTATGCAAATAAATAGTAAAGATATATCATATTATTGTTTTATGGTGAGTACAGATGTATCATTAAATATAGGACACTATTTTTTCTATAATTTTTCTAATTTTTAGTTTTTATTTTTTCAAAATTTACAATTGCTAAATTTGGATATTTATGTCAAAAAAATATTTGAATAAATATAATGTACATTATTCAACAAATATTATTCAAACTATATGGAAACCGAGTTATTAAAGTGAGACGCAAATGGCAATTTTATTTGAAAAACAACAGCAGTTCATCTAAAAAAACACCCATGGCCGATAAAACATTTCGTTAGCAGTAAACAATTTTGGTTATTGTTGCATAAAATTATAGTCCAATATTTTTTTAATATTCCTGATATATTTCGAACGCAACGAATTGAAATGTTAAATATATTATTTAACCTTTAAACTATGGTGATTAAATTACCCTCTGAAAAATGCAAAGTTTGTTCAACTCTAATGAAGGTTAATATAACGGCACAATATACCAATATGGACTCAGTTATTAAAATTTTGGTCTAAATTAAAATACGCTTATTATGGGGGCTCAATATATTTCTAGTTCAAAAAACTAAATACAATCGGTTCTACAAATCATTTAGTTAAGCCAACTAGAAATTTATCGTGTTTCTACTTTAAATATATTTTAGATTTGAACCAGCTAATAATTTATTCTGCGTAGGAGGTTGGTACACAAACAAATAGTAAAGATATGTCAAATGTATGTTTTATGATGAATGCAGATGATTCATAAAATATAGGACCCATTATTTCTATAATAAATCTAATTTTTAATTTTTCTTTTTTTTAAGCATTTTCAATTACTAAATTTGGATAATAGTGTGTTAAAAGAACATTCAAATAAATAAAATATACATTTTTTAATAAATGTTATTCAAACTATATGAAAACCGAGTTATTCAAATAAATAAAATATACATTTTTTAACAAATGTTATTCAATCTATTTGGAAACCGAGTTATTAAGGTGTGACGACAATGGCAATGTTATTTGGAAAACAACAGCGATCTATATAAAAAAACACCTAAGGCTGATAAAACAATTCGTTAGCAAAAAACAGATTTGGTTATCGTTGTATTAAATTATTGTCCAATATTTTTAATCTTTTTTTCGAAGAAGATTAAACTGTTAAATATATTATTTATACAATAAATTAAGGTGATTAGGTTACGCTCTGAAAGATACAAATTTAGTCTAACTTAAACTATGGTTTTTCTAAGGGCAAAATACATATCAAATTGGACTGAGTTTTTAGAAGTTTGGTCTAAATTAAAATACGCTTATTAAAATTGCCTAATAAATTTCTAGTTCCAAAAACTAAAGAAAAAGTTGTTTCTACAAAACACTTAGTTAGGTAAAAATAAATTAATCATGTCACTACATTGTATATATTTTAGGTTGCACCAGCTATTTTGTTTTCTGCGTAAGAGGGTAGTACACAATTAAATAGTAAAAATCTTTCAAATATTAGTTTTATAGTGAAAATGGATGACTCATTAAATATAGGACATAAAAAAAATTGTAAATTTTAGTTTTTCTTTTTTGAAACATTTACAATTACTAAATTTGGATATTAACGTGTCAAAAAAATATCCAAATAAATATATTAACATTATTTAATAAATATTATTCAAACTATATGAAAACCGAGTTATTAAAATATGCCAAAAATACACTCAAGGGTGATTAAACGTTTCGTTAGAAGTAAACAATTTTGAATATCGTTGCATGAAAATATTATATATTATATAATATAATATAATAATATATTATATATAATATAATAATATATATATATATATATAATAATAATAATATATTATATATAATATAATAACATTATATATAATTATAATATAGTAATTATAATATTACAATTATTATATATTAATTCTAATTTTTAGATTGTCCTTTTTTTGAACATTTACAATTACTTAATTCGGATATTTATGCCAAAAAAATATTCAAATAAATAGAATATACATTATTTAACAAATTATTCTAACTATATAGAAACTAGGTCATACAAGTAGGAAGGCAATGGCAATGTAATTTGGAAAACAACAGCAGTTTATCTAAAAACACCTAAGGCTAATAAAACGGTTCGTTAGCAGTAAACAATTTTGGTTCTTGTTGCATAAAGTTATTGTCTAATATTTCAAATATTTCTGATATTTTTCTAACACAATAAGGCAAAAAGTTAAATATATTATTTAACCAATAAACTAAAGTAATTAAATTACCCTCTGAAAAATTTAAAGTTAGTCCAAATAAATCTATGATTAATATAACGGTGTATTAATTTCTAGTTGGACTAAATTATTAAAAATTTGGTCTAAATTAATATACGCATATTATAGAGACTCAATATATTTCTAGGTCAAAAAACTAATTACAATTGGTTCTAACTAATCATTTAGTTAAGCCAACTAGAAATTAATCGTGTTTCTACTTTAAATATATTTTAGATTTAAACCAGCTAATAATTTATTCTGCGTAAGAGGTTGGTATACAAACAAATTGTAAAGATACGTCAAATGTATGTTTTATGGTGAACACAGATGATTCATAAAATATAGGACCCATTTTTCTATAATAAATCTGATTTTTAATTTTAATTTTTTTTAAGCATTTTCAATTACTAAATTTGGATAATAGTGTGTTAAAAGAACAATCAAATAAATAAAATATACATTTTTTAATAAATGTTATTCAGACTCTATGGAAACCGAGTTATTAAGGTGTGACAACAATGCCAATGTTATTTGGAAAACAACAGAAATCTATATAAAAAACACCTAAGGCTGATAAAACAATTCGTAAGCAAACAACAATTTTGGTTATCGTTGTATGACATTAACGTGTTAAAAAAATATTTATTATAATATAATATACATTATTTAACAAAAGTTATTCAAACTATATAGAAACTAGGTCATAAAAGTATGAAGGCAATGGCAATGTTATTTGGAAAACAACAGCAGTTTATCTAAAAAACACCTGAGCCTAATAAAACATTTCGTTAGCCGTAAACTAATTTGGTTCTCG